CACAAAGTGTACACTTCTGCAATATTTGGGGTAATGGTGCCATATCGTTTGAAGACCTATTTCTAACTTGAAAATATCAAGATAATCTATTTGAACTGCTATTTTATTTTTAGAATGAATATAAGCAACCACAAACTGAAATATTTTCAAATCACAATTTAAGATTGTTTTTTCAAGCAAACATTATCTGTAATATCTTTTGGATCACAGAGCATTCTCAAGTCATAGTTATTCTGGTTTTAAATACACTTGAATGATTTCTTTGCAAATGGTATCTATTTAACTTTATATTTTGAAACGAATTTGAATTTCTTTGAAGAAGAGTCGCAAAGATAGTACAGGAGCAGTTCACGTACCCTTCACCCAATTTTTCCTAATTTTAACAGTTACATAATTATGGCATATTTATCAAACCTAAGATATTAACATTGGTGCAATACTATTTGCTAAACTACAGACTTTATTCATAATTCCCTAGTGTTTCCACTAATGTCCTTTTTTCCTTCCAATATAAAATGTAGGACATCATTTTCCTATAGTGGTCATATCACCTGTCTCCTCAACCTCTCACAGTTTCAAAGTCTTTTTTTTTCTTTCATGACTGACATTTTGAAGAATACTGCTAAGTTACTTTGCTGAATATGAGTATGTCTGTTTTTTTATGAATAGAATAAGGTTATGAATTTTAGGGAGGTATACTTCAGAGATTATGTGCCTTTCTCATCATATCATATCAGAGAGTGCTGGGAAAATGATTCATCAATGATAATGTTTACCTTAATCATGGAGTAAGGTAATAACTACTAGGTTTCTCTACTGTAAACTTACTATTTGTTTCTATTTTCATTATCTGTTAGAAGTGAGTCTCTAAAGCCAGCTATACTCAACGGGCTGATTAGATTACAGTATTTCTTCGTGCAGTTTCTTCATGAGTTTTGTGCTTTGGATTCTTTGAGTTTCTTGGATCCAGAAAAATTCAGTTATCATTTCTTTAAGTATTTCTCCCCACTCTTTCACCCCAATTTGGAGACTTCAATTACAAGGATGCATAAAGTTGTTCCATGGTTCACTAATGTTTTGTGTACATATAGTTTTTATTACATATTATAGGAGTTATATAATATACTGAAATATATATTTATATATAAAGATGTGTATTTTTAACTTTATTTTATTTTAGATAGCTGATATTTCTACAATTTTGCATTTACTAATGTTTTATTTTGTAATATCTAATCTGTTATTAACTCATCTAGTTTTTTTCATCAGTCATTGTAATTTTCATCCTTAGATTTTCATCCTTAGATGTTTGAATATATGTATTCTCAAGTTATAATAACTCTTTCTAAATATCCTTGTTGGCTAAGTCTAGTGACTGTGTCAGTGGTGAATCTGTGTCACCTGATTGATTTTTCTTGCAACAATGGGTCATACATTCTTCCTTGTCTGCAAACCTAGCACGTTTTTATTGGATGCCCAACATTGTATATTTTACCTTGTTGAGTGTGGGATGATTTTGTATTTCTGGACTTATCTTTGAACACTTTTGTTCTAGAACACTTTTATCCACTAAGGTTTTGCTGAACATATTTTTCAGACAGGACAATATTGTTTAGTCTTGAGCTAACTGTTCTCTTTTAAATATTCTTCCCAATAGCCTGTGAATTATAGGTGTTCCAGAATGTTTGGTAGAAATAAGCAAACAGGAATAAAAATGTTAAAATAATAATAAATATATTTTTAGAAATTCTGTGTGAGTAATCAGGTACTATTTCCTCTTATCATTTTGCGTGATTTTCTTCTTGGCCATAGATACTTTCCTCATCATGTGCATGTGCTTATCAATATTTTTATGAATAATCTAGGGACATCCTTTGTTTACTTAAACTCCTGAGTTCTGTCTCTGCAGCCCTCCTTTCTTCTACTCTGATCTATAGACTCTTTCTAGCTACTTTCTCTTTCTTAGATGTCTAACCCTTTTTCAGTTCATCTGCTTCATTTGCCCAAGCTCCCTTTCATTGCATTGTGGTTTGAAAAAACTCTCAGGGAATGAAACTGTTGCAATTATAGGTTTCAGCTCATATATGTTCCATCTCTCAGGGTCATTATGTTTTGTTTAATAATTCCCAGCTTTTAAAAAATATTTATATTTGTATTATTCTCTAGTTGTTTCAAGTAGATAGATAAATCCAATTATCTTAATCCAATATGGTCAAAGGTAGGATTTCTTAAACTTTTCTTGATTCCACATTAGATTGTCCTCTGAATGTATTTTAAATCTGTTATTAACTCTTTCTTTTTGTCCCAAAGTTGAACATGTCTCTATAACCTCTCTCGAGTTCCAAGTTCACTTTATCAGCTGCTGATCTATGCTGTCTTGTGAATATCAAAAGCAGTTTGTCATAATATATATACATATCTGAAAAAATCCTATAAATCCAGCTTAAAACATTGAAATCAAATAAAGTCTATTGTCTGAGCATAATTGAATTAAACCAGAAATCAATAAATAATGAAATCTAGAAAATCACAAATATTTGAAAAAAGCCACAACAGATTTTTAAATAATTCATTGGTAAAATAATGCATTGGTCAAAATTTCTAACTTAATTTAGAAGTTAGAAAATATTTTGAGCTGAGCACAATGAAAGCACATCGTATAAAAATTTGTGATATGTTACCAAAGCGGTGCTAAGAAGAAACTCTAGCATTTGTGTAAGTCAGTAGTGGATGCTACAGTAAAAATACCATAGCTTGGGTTACTTAAACAACCGAAATTTATTTGTCATGATACTAGAGGCTGGGAAGTCAGAGATCAGGGTAACAGCATGGTTGAGTTTGGGTGAGAATAATCTTTCTGCTTGTCAAATAGCCATCTTCTTGTTGTATCTTCATATAGCAAACAGTAGAGAGAGAAAACTCCAGCTCTAGTGTTCATTTATAAAAACGTATTAATCTTATCATGAGGGCCCAACCTTCATGACCTAATTATTTCCCAGGGGCTCTATCTCCAAATACCATTGCATTGGGGTTTACAGTTTCAATAAATGAATTTTGGGGGAGACACACTCAACCCATAGCAGCATTACATTATTATATTAGAAAAAAAAAAAGTCTTAAATCAAGAATCTAACCTTCTATCTTGACAATAAAAAATATGGAAAAATAAAACAAAATTAATAAGGAAAAAAGTATCAAGATAATAAAAATAAATGAAATTGAACAAAAGAAAAACAATAGAGAAAACCATCTAAAGAAAAATCTGGTTTACAGTAAAAGAATCAATAAAATTGACAAGCTTTTTCCCAAATGACCAAGAAAAGATATATAGAGAGAGAGAGAGAAAAGAAGAGAACAGAAAGTACCATGGTAATGAAAGAAAAATATCACTGCTGGCCCAATATAAATTAAAAAATAAAATAATGGCATCTCTCAAGTAAATCTCTGTCCATAAATACGGCAATTTATGACTGACACATTGTTTGAAAGATGCTATTTATCAAAATGTATAAATAAACACACCAATAATTTATCCAGAAAAGAGAGTAAATTTGTAATTAAAATGTTGCAATAACAATAAAACATGTTCAGGCCTAAGTAGATTCACAGAAAAAATTGTGGCAAGTATGTACGGAAGGAATAATATTCATTTACATAATCTCTTTCACAAAATAGATGAGGAAGGGTGCTTTCTGAAACTTTTTATGAGACCAATACAATCCACACAATAAAACTAGAGAACATATTATAAGAAAACAATATTAGACCAATATTTCTAATTAATATAGAAACAATTTTTAAGGAAAATATTAGCAAGCCCAAAGAAGGAACATATGAAAATATTGCTGTGTCATTACCAAATGGTATTTATCCTGGGTGAGCAAGGATAAATGCAATAGAAATGATTTAGCATTCAAAAATCAGTATAGTTTACCATATGTAAAGACTCTAAGAATAAAAATTGCATGTGCATCTGAACAGATGCAGAAACAGTATTCAACAAAATTTAACATCCATTCCTGATGAAAAACTTAACATGCTAATACTTGAAAGATGATTCCTAAACCTTTTAAAAGTTATCTACACAAAACTTACAGAAAATACCATGTACAATGGTAAACACTGAACGTTTTCCCCCTAAGATCAGAAATAAGGAAAGGATTTTTCTGATTATAGCTCCTATTCAGAATTATACTAGAAGTCATGGCTAGTCCAATATGAAATAGAGCAGAAATAAAAGACATTCTGCTTTGGAAGGAAGATATAAAATTTTCAATATACGTAGACTAAGCAATTGTACACATAATAAATCCGAAGGAATCAAAAAATGTCTTAAAACAAATAAGTCAGTTTATAATGTGTAAATTTTCAATATACATATACTAAGCAATTGTACACATAGTAAATCCAAAGAAATAAAAAAAAATCTTAAAACAAATAAGTGAGTTTATAAATGTAGGAGAATAAAAGGTCAGTATAATAAAATAAATAGCATTTATATATACTGGCAATGACTAATTGGACTTTTTGTCAATTTATAAACAGTACTACTTAAAATAGTACACAAAAAAACTTGAAATATGTAGATTTTAAACTAAGGAAATACATGTAAGATAGTGCTCAAAACTAACAAATACTAATGAAGAAAATCAAAATGTTCCTAAATAAATGAAGTTATGTCATATGTTGGAATTAGAAGATATATTATATTTAAAACATCAATTCTCTGAATATTTATTATATAGATTCAGCATAATCCAATCAAAATACACTAGGGTTTTATTTTGGTAGATACTGACAAGTTCATTTAAAAATTGTATTAAAAAAGCAATAGAAATATAATAGCTATAACAATTTCAGATAGAGAGGGGGTGGAGCAAGATACCCAAATAGAACTCTTTAGGAATTACCCCTCCTGCCCCAGAACACCAAATTTAACGACTATACACATAAGAAAGCACTTTCATAGGAACCAAATATCAGGTGAGCAATCATAGTACCTGGTTTTAACATCATATGAAGGAAGGAGGCACTGAAGATAGTAAGGAGACACAGTCTTGAATTGCTGACACCTCTTCTCTCTCTGGCAGCCACCACATGGCATGAAGAGAGAATCTGAATACTTGGGGAATGAAAAGGAAAATGACTGTGGGACTTTGTATTGGAACTCAGTGTTGCACTGTCACAGTAAAAAGCAACACAGAGCAGAATTCATCCAGTGCCCAAGGAGGGAACATTTACACCAGGCCTACACAGAGGGGAATCGTCCTTCCCAGTGGGCACAACTTGAGTTCCAGCTAGCTTCACCACTATGAGCTAAAGTGCTCTGTGATTCTAAATAAACTTAAAAGGCAGTCTAGGCCACAAGGACTGCAATTCCTGGACAAGTCCTGGTGCTGTCCTTGGCTTACAGCCAGTGCACTTGGGGTGCACATGACCTAGTAAGAGAACAGCTGAGATGGCCAAGGGAGTGCTGTCACCCCTCCCCCAGTTCTGGACAGTGAAACTCACAGCTCCAGAGAGACACTCTCCCTCTACTAGAAGAAAGGAGAGGGAACTGTAAAAAGGACTTTGTCTTAGAGTGTGGATAAAAGCTCATCCACAGTAAAATGAAGCACCAAGAAGAGCCTTAAAGCCTCTATTCTAGACTCTAGCTCCTGAATAGTGTTTCTAGACTCATACTGGGTCAGAAAGGATCCTGATGCCATGAAGGGAAAGATTCAGTTCTGGCAAGATTCATCACTTGCTGATAGAAGAGCTATTGCGCCCTGAATAAACATCAGTTACCAGCCAGGTAGTAGTTGCTGTGGGTCTCGTGTGAGACCCAGTACTGTGCGGGCTTTGGGTTTGACCCAGCACATTCTCAGCTGTGGTGGCCACAGGGCCAAACTCTTTCGTTTTGAAGAAAGAAGAGAGAAGAATATAAAGGATTTTGTCTTGCAACTTGGGTTCCAACTTAAACACAGGAAAATAAAACACTGAACAGACTCCTAAAGTCCCTAATTCCAGGCCTTAACTTCTGAATAGAACTTCCAGACATAGCTTAGGCCAGAAGGGAACCCATTGCCATGAACACAGAGACCAGGCCTCGCAGGATTCACCACCTGCTGATTCGAGAGTCCTTGGGCCCTGAATAAACATCAGTGGTAGCCAGGTAGTAGTTGCCACTGGCAGGCCTGGGGAGTTTCTAAACTACTACTACTCCCTGGCTACCACTGAGAGTTGACAACTACTACCTGGATACCACTGGAGTTCTCCATTGGGAGAAACTCCTGCTGGAGGAAAAGAAAGAGAAAAGTTAAAAAAAAAAAAGTATTTGTCTTAAAATGTGGGTACCAGCTCAGCTACAGTAAAGTAAAGCACCAAGTGTATTCCTAAAGTTTCCAATTCCAGGACACAGTGCCCAGACAGCATTTCTAAACACACACTGGACCAAAAGAGAACCTGCCTGCCCTGAATAGAGAGATACAGCTTTGGCAGGATGCATCACCTGCTGATCGAAGAGCTCTTGCACCTGCACATTGGTGGCACCCAGGTATTAGCTGCTATGGACCTTGTGAGAGACTCAATACCATGTTGGCTTCAGTTGTGATCCAGCACTGTCCCAGTGGTGGTGACAACGGGAGTGCCTGCATCACCTTTCCCCCAACAGCAGGCAGTTCAGCATGGAGAGACAGACTCCATTGGTTTGGGGGAAAGTAAGGGAAAAGAAAAAGAGACTGTGCCTGGTAATCCAGGGAATTCTCCTCAGTCTTACTTAGGAGCACCAAAGTGCTGTTTCTATGAGTCTACAAGAGTCACGGCATTACTGGGCTTGGGGTACACTTCATGCAGATATGGCTGTAGTGACCAAAGACTTAGATCACAACACTCAATTCCTTTTGAATACTTGGAAAGTTTTCTCAAGGAAGATAAATGCAAATAAGTACAAACTGCAAGGATTAGAATAAATGCTTAATTTTTTTTTAATGCCCAGATATTGAAAGACATCCAAAAGCATGAAGACCATTCAGGAAATTATGGCCTCACAAAACGAACTAAATAAGACACCAGTACCCAATCCTGGAGTGACAGAGATATGTGACCTTTCAGAGGGATAATAAAAAATAGCTGTTTTTGAGAATGCTAAATGAAATTTGAGGTTAAACAGGGAAAAAATTTAATAATCCTATCAAATAAAATTAACAAACAGATTTTTAAATGTTTTTTTTAAGAAATAGAGCAGAAATTCTGGAGCTAAAACACAATTCATGTACTGAATAATGCATCAGAGTCTCTCAGCAGCATAATGATACTTTCAAGTGAAGAAAAAAAAATAAGCCTGAAAAGAGGCTATTTGAAAATACATGGGCAGAGGAATCTAAAGAATAAATAATAATAAAAAATAACACCTACAGGATCTAGAAAATAGCTTCAAAAAAGCAAATTTAAGAGTTAGGGGGTACGTATGCAGATTTAGCTGAGCATATTGCATAATGCCGAGGTTTGGAGCACAACTGATCCTGTCAACCAGATACTGAGCATAATAGCCAGTAGTTTTTCGACATTTGCCCCACTCTATTCCTCCCAGCTCTACTAATCCCCACTGTCTGTATTTGCCATTTTTATGCCCATGAGTACCCAGTGTTTAGCTCACTTTTATTTATTTTGTTTCTTATTTTTATTTACTTATTTATTTTTGAGATGCTGTCTTGCTCTGTCACCCAGGCTGGAGTTCAATGGTGCAATCTCAGCTCACTACAGCCTACGCCTCCCAGGAGGCAGAGCTACTCAGGAGACTGCCTCAGCCTCCTGAGTAGCTGGGATTACAAGCACCTGCCACCACACTAGGCTAATAATGTATTTTTAGTAGAGACAGGGTTTCACCATGTTGGCCAGGCTGGTCTTGACCTCCTGACCTAAGGTGATCCGCTTGCTTCAGTCTTCCAAAGTGCGGGGATTACAGGTGTGAGCCACTGTGCCTGGCATATTTCTCATTTATAAATGAGAATGTGCAGTTTTGGTTTTCCGTTCCCGCATTAATTTTCTTAGAATGTCCTTCAGCTGCATCCATGTTGCTGCAAAGGACATGATACGATAATTTTTACATGGCTGTGTAGTATTCCATGGTATATTTCATGGTATATATGTACCATTTATTTTATGCATCCACCACTGATGGGCACCGAGGTTGATTCCATGTCTTTGCTCTTGTGAATAGTACTGTAATGAACAAACAAGTGCATGTGTCTTTTTGGTAGAATGATTTATTTTCATTTGGATATATACCCAGTTATGAGATTGCTGGGTCAAATGGTGGCTCTGCTAAAAATTCTTTGAAAAATCTTTAAACTCCTTTCCACAGTGGTTGAACTAATTTACATGCTCATCAACAGGGCCTAAGCCTTCTGTTTTCTTCACAGCCATGCCAGGATCTGTTGTCTTTTGACTTTCTGCAAATAGCCATGCTGATTAGTCTAAGATGATATCTCATTGTAGTTTTGACTTACATTTCTCTGAAAATTAATGATGCCAAGTATTTAAAAAGATACACAGAATCACCAGACTTATAACCAGACTAAAAATAAAAGAGAAAATAAATAGAATCTGAAGTAAAAAAATATTACAGCAGACACCGAAGAAATTCAGAGGATCATTAGAGAGTACAGCAAATACCTATACGCCAATAAATTGGAAATACTAGAAGAAACAGGTGAGTTTCTAGGCATATAAAGCCCTACCAGTATTGAATCATGAAGAAATCCAAAACATGGGCAGGCCAATAACAAATAATAAGATTGAAGCAGTGCTAAAGAGTCTGCCAGGAAAGAAAAGCCTATGACCCAATGGCTTCACTGCTGAATCTTACCAGACATCTAAAGAACTAATACCAATTCTACTCAAATTATTCCAAACAATACAGAAGGAGGGAATATTTCACTCATTCTCTGAGGCCAGTTCTACCCTAATACAAAAACTAGACATATCAAAAACAGGAATCTGCAGGTCAAAATGTCTGATGAACATTGATGCAAAAATTCTCAACAAAACGCTAGCAAACCAAATTCAACAAAAACATTACAAAGATAATTCATCTTGACCAAGTGTGATTTATCTCAGGGATGCAAGGATGGCTCAACATATGCAGATCAGTGAATGTGATACATTTTATCAACAGAATGAAGGAGAAAACTCATATGTCATTTTGATTGATGTTATAATAGCATTTGATAAAATTCAACAGCATTTATTCATGATAAAAACCCTCAAAAAACTGAGGAAGGAACATGCCTCTACACAATAAAAGCCGTATATGACAGACTCACTGGTAGTATTATACTGAATAAAGAAAAACTTAAAGCTTTTTTTCTGGAATCTGGACTATGACAGGATTCTCTCTTTTTTTTTTTTTTTTTTTTTTTTTTTCAGAGTCTCACTCTGTCTCCCAGGCCCGAGTGCAGTGGCATGATCTCAGCTCACTGCAAGCTCCACCTCCTGGGTTCACACCATTCTCCTGCCTCACCCTCCCGAAGGATTCTCACTTTAATCATGATTAAACATACTATTGGAAGTCCTAGCTAGAGTAATCAGATAAGAGAATAAAAAGGCATATGAATTGGAAAGAAAAAAAGTCAAATTATTCTTGTTTGCAGATACTTTTGCAGAATGTTTGTTTCTTAGTTAAGCTAAAAATGGGTTCTTGTCACATGACCAGGAAGGATTAGGAATGAGGGAATATTGAAGGGTGAGTGGAGCAAAATTTATTGAGAAAAAAAGAAAACCTCTCAGCAAAACGAGAAGGGTTCCTGCCAATGGGCTCCCACTCCACAGACTGAATTCCAGACCACCACACATGAGGTGAAGAGGCCAGGCTCTTCCCCTGCACAAGGCATAAAATTCCCATGGTCTTACCCCATTTTCCCAATGTGCAGGAGGGTTGGAGATTTTCCAAGCATCCTCCCCCTTATCTGCCTCCTGCATTTATCATTCCTCTACCTAAAAATGTACATCTGATTGCCATTAAAATAAGGATAAGGATAAGGGCAAAGACTGATCTTAACTGCTTCCTGCTGACAGGGGCTACTGTTTTGGGAAAAAGGTAGTCAGATTTCCCTCAGTGGCC